GCAGGAATCCTAAATTCCAGTTTAACAGGTCTTCTCTGCTGTCCTCCAAACAAGCCCAGCTGTCTCTTTCTAGACCTTACTCTTCTAAAACTACTTGGATGAAGATGAAGATGCTCTCTAAGAAGTAATATAAGATAGAAAAGATGAGGAATACAGATTAAAGTATCCAGTATACATTGCCAATATATGCTAAGTGCCAAAAGAGGGAGCGATTATTCATTGATACATATTTTTTTTCCCCTTTTCCCTTCCTCTTTAACTGGACATATTCTATAAAATAAATGTTTTAAATTATATTTACTGAACTACACTTATATACTTTGCTCCTAACTTTAAATTCAATTGTATTAACCTTTTATTATTTCAAAGAAACAAAAATACCTAGCTTACTACTGTACGCATAAATACCCAGGGTTTTTTTTTCTCCCCCCATTATGGATTTGTAGCTCAACAGAATTTCCCACAGCAGTTAATTTACTCCACAATTCTTAGGACATTCAATTATGGTTAAAAGAGCAAGAACTTTGCAGTGACCAGAGTCAGCATCCTAAATTTCAGCCCCCTGCCCCTTACATCAGTGTGATTGCAGGCAAATTGCTTAACCTCTCTAAGCCTCTTTTCCCCTCACCTGTAAAATGTGATAATACCTACTTCACACAGCTGTGGTAAAAGTTAAATGAATAGGGGGAAACAATTTCACAGCGCTTCATACATATCAAAAACTCGGTAAATATAAATTACCAAAACAAAAAAGATTTTAATAATCAATACATAATGCTACTCAAAAGCAGTAAAGCTACAGACAAAACTAGATTATTTGAAAACCTTTGTTTTCAGTGATTTTGAAAGCTGAGCACCAGGTAATGAAACTGCACCGTCAAAGAACTGCCCACATTCTTGCAGCGCAAACTAAATTAACGCTGTCTACGCCTTCAAGTGTGCCTCTCTTTATTCAACCTCTCTAGAAAGCAAATGACTGGAAAAGTATGATTACTGATCATGAGAAATATGTAAAAGAGATGAAAAGATATGTCTGGGACACACTTCAAAATAACCCGGGGAGAGGGAGCAAGCCTGGCCATTTAATGATACTTGTTGAATTGAGTGATGGGTACACCGAGTTCTTTACGCTATTCTCTCGACCTCTGTAGAGTTTGCAGATTTCCATAATAAAATGTGTTTTTAAATGTCCAAAGGTCGATTTTTGTTTTTTCCCCTTGGGGCTTAATGCAAATCCTGGTCCTGGTCAGGAAGACATTGGGAAAGTCCTGGGCGGCGGAAAGTCAACGGTAACGCCGGTCAGCGGAAGCTGGTTGAATCCCCCCCGCCGCCCGGCAGGCGTGCTCCTCCCTCCGAATCCCCGAGGCCTGGCCGGGAGGTGCGCCCGCCAAGTCCGGCCGCCGGTCCCGGGAAAGAGCAACACCCACAGGAACCACAGCCGAGGGCCTTCCAGACGGCCGGAGGGCCAACTGCGGGCTCCGGACGACCGACCGAAGCCCGGGGGTGGGGGGGCGCAGCTGCGGGGTGGGTGAATGCCAGCCTTCGGGGCAAGTCGGCCAAATTCCCTCTGCTCCGCCTAAGCTCCAGCCCCACCCGGGACCTCAGCCACCCTGGCTGCCCCAGATCCTCTCCGCCTCCCTCCAGCAGCGGCGCAGACACCCAACCGGTCCGCGGAGCCCGCCGGCCTCCCCGCAAGCCCGAGCCCGGCTCCTTCACCGCCTACCCTGTCACCAGGGTTTCCCACCGCCGTCTGGCCCGGGGGCGCCTCCTCGACCCCACGCCAACCGCTTTCTAGAGTCGCTAACCCCACTTTACCTCAGCCGCGCGGCAGCCACGAACCCCTTGCAGCAACTCCGGCTTCGAGCTTGGCTGACCCGGGGCGTTGCTGCCAATCACCCGATCTCCGCCCCGAGCCCGGGCCAGGCTGACCAATCAGCGGTTTCCTCCGGCCCTGAGGCGGGCACTGAGACGGGGAGCAGAAAGCTAGACGACCGCCGGAAGCGCATGGAGCGGCCTTTCGCAGTGTGCGCACGCGCGGGGCTCGGCTGGGGCGTGCACTTGCTCGTGGACCTTGCTTTTCCTTTTCACATCCCTGCCCTGGGAAGTGCCTTCTCAATCTGAAGCTCTAGGCGTGTAAGGAGAATCACATGATGAATGTAGCCGCAAGTGTGCATTACCTTGAAAGAAGCTGTGAATCTTAAGCCCTTGTTAAGCTAACCAGTGTGGAGCTCTTTCATCCCGTGCTGTAGGGACTTGTGCTCACCCGGCTTATCTTCTGATGCCTTTTACAGACTTTGTATCCCCGGTGTGTTAGTCTTTAGAGGGAATGAGGATGTGGGGTTGTACAAAGTGCCTGATGGGTGAGGATTTTACTTTTCTGAGTCTTCAGTTCCAGCATCTGTTTAATAGCTGGGACACATGGTTTTTAATAGCTGAGTATCCTAGGACACTCTGGATTGCAAATCATTGTCATGAAAATATGATTATTACATTTATAGCTAACAATATATTAAGCATGGTAACGTGTGTAGTACTGATAAAATATTCACAGGTAGAATGAGAAACCTATTTCTGTATGGCCTTTCAAGAGGCTGTTGCTGATTGGCTCGATTAGCTGCATCTCTTACCCTCCCATTGTAATTGATCCCAGAGGTCAGTCTGCAGACAGCGGAGCGCCGATGTTCTTATCCTGGGACCCCCAGCCTCTCCCTGGCGAGGGCTTCCCTCCTTCAGCAAGAGCATTAATTCATTTACTCAACAAGGGCTTGTTGGGGCCCACTATGACAGTACAAAGATTTTAAAAAGCTTTGAACCACGCCCTCAGTGAGCCTACAGGCTAACAACAAACTTAAGTTATATAACCAAATGTTATAATGGAGATATGGAGGGGCCTGGGAGACCTGCCTACGCCTGCCCCGGGTTCTCAGCACATCCGGAAGGAGTTAATGCTTGGGCTGGGACGAAAGAGCAGCATCTCCTGAGCTAAAGGGGCGGGGCAAAGCATGGCGGCGTTTCTGACAAAGTTCACCTGTTGCTCCCTAGATCTTTCCAGGGTGGAGCTCTGCTAAGCTAATGAAGCTTCTTCCCAGGCCCCAGGACTTGCAACAGGTCTTTCCAAGACCCAAGGTGGGCCCCTAGCACCGAGTTCACCTTATCACATGTGGCTTTCGACTCTTTTTAAAAGGAAGATGTCTTAAAGCTCTCCTCAACAGGGATTGGTTAAGGCCTTTTTCCGTTCCAATTTCCTTTCCTTCACATTTCCCTTCATCCTAGGTACCCTGGAGTGGCCGTGGGCATTTGGGGAATCTGGGTGAGGGAAAAAGAGTTGAGATGAATTTGAGCCACTTCCCTAAGTTATTGCTGACTCTCCCGGTGTTGGAATGGCTTCCAGGAATACTCCTAGCCGTGCTTTATTCCGTCTCACAAATGGATGTGTCCCGTGGCACCTAGCACTAGAAGTATTTAGCTGGTGGAAGAGAAAGAGAGTTTGAAATGTGCTCAGCCAGAAGCTAACCTAGCGGGAAATCTTCCAGTCATCACACTTTAAAAATGATAAGTAGGGGGCTTCCCTGGTGGCGCAGTGGTTGAGAGTCTGCCTGCTCGATGCAGGGGCACGCGTTCGTGCCCCGGTCCGGGAAGATCCCACATGCCGCGGAGTGGCTGGGCCCGTGAGCCATGGCCGCTGAGCCTGCACGTCCAGAGCCTGTGCTCTGCAACGGGAGAGGCCACAACAGTGAGAGGCCCGCAGACAGCAAAAAAAAAAAAAAAATTATAAGTAGGATGCTTTACTTTTTGTTTTTAATAAACTTTATTTTGGAATAACTTTAGATTTACAGAAAAGTTTGCAAAGATAATACAAACAAAAAGTTCCTGTGTACTCCTCACCCAGTTTCCCCTAATGCTAACATCTTACATTATCATAATACATTTATAAAACTAAGGAGCCAACACTGGTACAAATTCCAGACTTAACTCAGTTTTTACTAATCCTTTTTCTGTTCCAGAATTCAATCCAAGGTGCCACACTGCATTTAGTCATCATGTCTTTTTAGACTGCTCTGGTCTGTCAGAGTTTCTCAGTCTTTCCTTGTTTTTCATAACCTTGATGTGACCATGACAGTCTTGAGGAGTCTGGTCAGGTATTTTGTATAGTGTTCCTCAATTTGAATTTGTCAGCTGTTTTTTCTCATGATTAGACTGGGATTATAAATTTTGGGAAAAATACCATATGGGTGGAATGCCCTTCTCAGCACATCATATCAGGGGTACATGATGACTTAATTACTGCTGATGTTAACCCTGATCACCTGGACCATGGTAGTGTTGGCTGGCTTCTCCACTGTAAAGTGGCATTTTTTCCCTCTTGCCCTATTCTCTGGAAGCAAGTCACTAAATCCAGCCCACAGCTTCACCCCCATGGAGTAGAATATCTATACAAATTATTTGGAATTCTTCTGTAAAGAAGATTCATGTCTCTCCCCACCCCCCATTTATTTATTTGTATTCAATAATTTATTTATAAATATGCATATATATTTATTTTATACTTCATTTTATATTCTATATATGATTTTTATTTTGTTGCTCAAATTGTTCTAGCTTGACCATTGGAAGCTCTCTTAGGTTGGCTCATGTGCCGTTTTTGCTTTGTTTAATTTAATTTAATTTATTTATTTATTGCTGTGCTGTGCGTCATGTGTGATCTTAGTTCCCCAACCAGGAATCAAACTGCTCCTGCATTGGGAGCACGGAGTCTTAACCACTGGACCGCCAGGGAAGTCCCCCTGTCTTTGCTTTTTTTTTTTTTTTTTTTTCAGTAGTACGCGGGCCTCCCACTGCCGTGGCCTCCCCCGTCGCGGAGCACAGGCTCCGGACGCACAGGCCCAGCGGCCACACAGGCCCAGCGGCCACGGCTCACGGGCCCAGCCGCTCCGCGGCATGTGGGATCCTCCCAGACCGGGGCATGAACCCGGGTCCCCCTGCCTCGGCAGGCAGACTCCCAACCACACCACCAGGGAAGACCCTTTTTTGCTTTTTGATCATCTTTTTTCTTGAACTACAAGAGGCTCCAGGCTGATCTTGTACTTTTCTTGCCCCAGCATTAGAGTCAGCCATTTCTCCATTTCTTCAAGGAGTCCTAGAATGGTATTTAGAAATCAAAATCTAGATATTGGGTGTACTTGTTGCTCCTGGGATATCATTGAATCTAACATCTCCTGATGCACATATATTGCTGCCTTGTTTTTAAATTCTTTGTTTATATCCCTGTGATAGGCAGCCTCTAATATGGCCCCCAAAGATCTCTGCCTGGTATTCATGCTCTTGGGTAATTTCCTCTCCTCTAGGGTGGAATGGACCTAGTGACTCCCTTCTAATGAATAAACTACAGCAAGAAAGATGGGACGTCATTTCCAAGATTAGGTTACAAAACGACTGTAGCTTCCATCTTGCTTGCTCTCTCCTGGTCTCTCCTTCACTCACTCTGAGAAGCCATCCACCATGATGTGAACTGTCCTATGGAGAGGTCCACATGGCAAAAAACTGAGGGAGGCCTCTGACCATCTGTACATCAGCCTATAAGAAACTGAATCCTGCTAACAGCCATATGAGTGAACTTGGAAAAAGATTCTCTCCCACTTGAACCTGGAAATGATTGCAGCCCCACTGACACCTTGATTGCAGCTTTGAGAGAGACCCTGAGCCAGAAACATCCAGCTAAGCCACACATGGATTCTTCATGCACAGAAACTATGAGATAATAAATGATTATTGTGTTAAGTTGCTATGTTTTGGAGTAATTTGTTAGGAAGCAATAGATAACTAATACAATTTCTGACTCCTTCATAAGATCAGTGGTTCTTAAATTTCACTTTGGAATTTGTTTAAAAATACATATACCCATAGAGCCATGATTAATTAAAATATATAAAATATGATTCCATATTGATTTAAAAAGCAAATATGAATATATTGTAATATGCGTAGAAAACTCTTTGGAAGGATATGTATATAACAAAATGTCAATAGTGTTCCTCTCTGGGTGGTAGAATTATGGTTTTACTTTTCTGTATTCTTTTCTGTATTTCAATAACTTTTGCATATTTAATATGTGTTAACTTGTATAATAAAATTAAATAAATTACAAAATAAAAAATAAATACAAAAAAAAAATACATATACCCAGGCTCCTTCCCAGAATCTTAGGTGGTTGTTCTGTATAGCTAATTCTTAAAATGTAGAAGGTTACAGGGCAATCCATTTGGGGATTTTAGAAGACAATAGACTTTTCTTTTTAGTGTATCTGATCCTGGAATTCTTTACCCAAATTAATGGCTCAGCTTTCTTGGCAGAATCCAGAATAACTGAAATTTCATCTGCTAGTTGAAGTATTTATTATATAGGGGAGAAAAAAACAGCAGAGTTCTCTCTTACTCAACATACAGGCTTGAAAAAGTCCCTTGACCTTTATATGCCTCCAGATTCCTAACAGGAAATTAAACGATTATAATGCTGTTATTTAGGCAAAGAGATTTATCATTATTAAGTGTATATTAGGCAATAGAAAGGTGACCAAGGCCAGTTGTGGGCCAGTTTCCTCGCAGAGCTTTAACAAGAGGTTAGATTCCCACTTGTTCATTTTGGTTGATGGTGAGGCAGAATTCTATTGTAGAAAGACTGTGGGCTTCTAAGTCTGACAGACCTATATTCAAATATGCCTCTGCACTTACCAACTGTAAGTCTCTGCAGGTCTCAATTTCCTGACCTCAATCTCTGACAGTGGGGAAAATAGTCACCCTCAAAGGGTAGCCCTGAAGACTGATTGTGTAACATTTATAAAATACGAAGGGCAACGCATGCCTTATCACAAGGGCCCAATTAATAATAACCATGAAGGACAAACAGTTCATATGATTATGACCCTGATATTAGTAAAGTAAGGGACAGA